CTACCTACAGTTAGCAAACTGGGGATATTGGGAGAGGTACAGTCTTTAACGTAATTGGGAAGGTCATTCCACATTGGAGGTCCCTTGATTTGCAGAGCATTTCTAGTTTGACTAAGTCGTACTCTTGGAATATCAAATAGGTATTTGTTTCCGGTGTGGTGCTCGTGGGATCTGTTACAACCTTCTAGGAAGCTTTTAAGGTCAGGATTGACATTACAGTTCAGCGTTTTATATATATAAAATACACTTGAGAGGATGTGCAGGGACTTAATATCTAACATATTCAGAGATTTGAGTAAGGGTACCGAGTGATGTCTGGGGCCAGAGTGAGATATTGTCCTAATAGCAGCTTTGTGTTGAGTAATTAGAGGACGTAAATGATTTTGGGTAGTAGAACCCCAAGCACAAATACCATAGTTGAGATAAGGATAGATGAGAGAATAATAGAGTGTCACCAGTGCAGGGCGAGGTACATAATATCTGATCTTAGAAAGAATGCCAACAGTTTTCGAAACTTTTTTTGATATATTTAGAATGTGTCCCTGGAAATTCAGCTTGCGGTCAATGAGAACGCCAAGGAATTTGCCATCTACTTTGTTACAAATTTGGGTATTGTTAATCCTGAGATTTATTTGATTTGAGGATTTATTGGCAAACAAAATATAGAAAGTTTTGTCAATATTGAGGGTGAGTTTGTTGACAGTTAACCAGTGATGGACTTTATTTAGCTCAGTATTCACTGTGACATTTAGAGCAAGGGGGTCAGGACTAGAGTAAATGAAGGTCGTATCGTCAGCAAATAGATTTTTTTTTTGAGATATATACAAGAGTTGTTGCATTCTTGTACAGCCACTAGTACGCGTAGCGTTTCGGGCAGGTCCCTGGAATACGATCCCCTGCCGCGAAGAATCGTTTTTTCATCCAAGTACACATTTTACTGTTGCGTTAAACAGAGGCTACAGTTAAGGAATTGCGCCCAGTAAATCCTTCCCGGCCAGGATACGAACCAATGACATAGAGCTCGCGGAACGCCAGGCGAGTGTCTTACCACTACACCACGGAGACTCTTTGGGATGTTGGGAGGCATTTGGAAGGTCATTAATGTAGATGAGAAAGAGGAGAGGGCCAAGTATGCTGCCCTGGGGAACACCAATGTTGATGGGTAGGGTGGGAGAAATTGAATTATTCACAGAAACATACTGGGGCCTGTCAGTAAGGTAAGACTTAATGTACTGCAGGGAGTGACCTCTGACTCCATAATGTTGTAATTTAAGAAGAAGGTTTTGGTGGTTAAGTGTCAAAAGCCTTACGCAGGTCTACAAATAACCCAACAGGGAACTTATTTTTATCAAAAGCTGTATGTATCAAGTTAATCATACTAATAAGTGCATAGTTAGTGCTTTTTTTGGGTCTGAAGCCATATTGACAAGAGCTAAGTATATTGAGTTTGGCTAGATAAGAGTAAAGCTGCTTATAGATTAGTTTTTCAAATATTTTTGGTAAGTTTGGCAGAATTGATATGGGTCTGAAGTTGTTAATATCAGTGGGATCATCACATTTGTGGACAGGGGTTACTCTCGCTTTTTTTAGAATATCTGGAAAGGTTTGGAGTTCAAGTGACTTGTTGAAGAGCAATGCAATGGCAGGAGCTAAAAATGTGGAGGCTTTTTTGTAAATAAGAGTTGGTATCTCCTCAAGGGCACTAGACTTGGTTTTAAGGGAAAGGATTATGTCAGTAACATCAGTGGAATTAGTAGGCATTAGGTACAGAAACTGTGGATAGTTTCATGTAAGATAGTCCTGAATATTAGTACTAGACGATGGAATATAATTTGCAAGGGATGACCCAATGGAAGAGAAGAACCTATTGAACTCAAGAGCAGTGTCAGAGGCTGAAAGCAGATCATCATTATTTGATAGGAGTCTTGGTTTGTTATTTGTAATCTTTGATCCCAATATTTGAGAAATTGTGCTCCATGTTTTCTTAATATTGCCCTTTGTGTGGGTAAATTTGTCTTCGTAGTATTTAATTTTGGCTCTCCTAATTATTTTAGATAGCAATGATGAGTAATTCTTTGAGAATTCTTTGGAGACGATTATTAACCTATACTTCTTCTCAAGGTCATGTTTTTTATTAATGGATTTAAGTATCCCCTTTGTAAGCCAAGGATTGTTTAGCCTTTTAGTTGTGACTTGTTTCTTTAGCATAGGACAGTGGGTGTTATAAAGGCTGAGAGTTTTTTGAAGAAATGATTGCACTGCTAGGTTGATGTCCCCTATGTTCCCTAATTCAGATTCCCAGTTGATATTAGCAGCAGCAGCTATAAAATTGCCTTTAGCAGTTTCATTGTGCAGCCTAAAGCTTATCTCCCTTACCTTAGAGGTGGTTTGATAATGTTGGTTAGGAGAAATGTGGGGTAATGGTCTGTATCGAGGATTATCCCTGAAGTAAGTGGAGAGGTTATGTTGGTCCAGATGTGATCAAGAGCCGTGGCAGTACTGTCAGTGATTCTAGTAGGTCTAGTGATTAAGGGTATGAGGAAGCAGGAATTCATACAGTTGAGCAAACTAGCAGCAGGAGAGTTATCAGGCTCGCAGAGGTCAACGTTAAAGTCTCCAGAAATAGTTAAGTGGTTTTTGTTCAGTCGGTTCTCTAGTATAAGATTTCTAAGGTTTGAATTAAATTCAGTCACATCAGTGTTAGGAGCCCTGTAGACTGCTCCCACAGTCAGGACAGCATCGTTACCCTTGACTCTGAAAGAGGCAAATATATACTCTCCACAAGGGTCTCTAGATTTAATTGCTTTTAAGCAAGTCAGTGTATGGTGGTAGTAAAGAGAAGTACCACCACCTCTTTGTATAGGACGACAGTTGTGAATGGCTGAGTAGTTTGGTATGTTACTTGTTTGGTACTTGTTTTTGTTACTTGTTTGGTATGTTACTTATGTTTGGTACTTGTTTTTGTTACTTGTTTGGTATGTTACTTATGTTTGGTACTTACAAAACGCCCACCCTCCTCCCGGGATCCTCTGTATCCTCTGGTTTCTTTTCAAAGGGACGACGCACAGACAGGCTATCTTCTTGAGAGGTTATCTTGAGATGATTTCGGGGCTTTAGTGTCCCCGCGGCCCGGTCCTCGACCAGGCCTCCACCCCCAGGAAGCAGCCCGTGACAGCTGACTAACTCCCAGGTACCTATTTACTGCTAGGTAACAGGGGCATTCAGGGTGAAAGAAACTTTGCCCATTTGTTTCTGCCTCGTGCGGGAATCGAACCCGCGCCACAGAATTACGAGTACTGCTCGCTATCCACCAGGCTACGAGGCTCAGGGGGCACTTGTTCTAGCTTGCTAAGCATTTGTGGTATCTTTGGGGGTGCTCCACCGGTACCCCCAAAGTGCTAAGCCTGCAGATAGCTAAGAAATATTACCATAAATTGTAATTAGTGTAAATTCAAATAATGCAACTTTCAATTACTAACTATAGATGTAACTATTAATTGTAATTGATTTAATATTTTATCATTATAATGATTATTCATTATAATTATTCTCTAATACTTTATTGTTATGCATTAGTCACTAATTATTTTTCACCCTAATTAGCTATTTGATTCATTGAAAATAATTGCTTATCATTATACTATTTGTTATTATTATATTATATAATAATAATAATGTATTATTTATTATTAATTTATTATTTATTATTAATTTATTATTTATTATTAATTTATTATTTATTATTAATTTATTATTAATTTATTATTTATTATTTTTTATTATTTATTAATAATTTATTATTTATTATTTTTTATTATTTATTATTAATTTATTATTTATTATTTTTTATTATTTATTATTAATTTATTATTTACTATTATAAAATAAACAAGTCCCCAATCTGAGCGCGTTTTCTTCCAACCACAGAAAATACATTTCCTCCTTTACACAAGTAGTATGGTATCAGACGTATACACAAATACTTTTATGACCTATACCGTCCAAGTAGTTGTTGCATTGGCACCATTCCTTCCCCCCGTCCCATCACAAATCCCTATCCTGACCCCTTCCAAGTGCTATATAGTCGTAATGGCTTGGCGCTTTCCCCTGATAAATATCTTACCATTGCTTGGGTCGAAAGTACAAAAATGGACAGATGGACTAGAAAGTTTACTTTCTGCATTAATTATTTAATTAGTCACACTAGAAAAATTGGAAAGACACTAAAGAATCTAACCTAACCTATCCATGCAATCCTAGTTCCCTAATATGCGCTATCTTAGGCCAAATATAATGCATTTATACTAAGCTATGAAATGTTGAAGTTTGGCTTTTGGCTTATTTTTTGCCTGCCTTCAAAATTAAGGCACAAAACATGAACATTCTTGGCTACAACAGTTGACTTACTTTCTTTTTTCGACCAAACATTTCGTATAAGTACAATCATTGTAGGAGGGAGGCTGGGTTGATTATATAGACCTTCAAAATCTTGACACGCTTCCTTGCCCCGACAATGGAAAACATAATAGTTTTACGTAATGTAACAATTTGCAAACGCCTAGACATAAACTATGCTTGAGTAATGGTAAATCAAGGTAGGATCATAATGTTATCAACGTTGAATCAGTTTAATAAACGTCGTTTGCAAAGATCTCATCTGGGGATATGAGCAGTGTTGTAAACAGTATCATTTGTATTTAATTGCAATAGCAAAATTTGTAAATACGAAAATTGAATTTATTAACACACAGCATCATGATACCAGAATTTCTATACACATGAACTAATACCCGAGTTGGTTGGTAAATAATACTATCCTATAGACAGTTCTAATATTACTAAATCTAGGTGACTGATACAGTATCTTATCGTATTTATCATTACTGTACTGATTAATGTTAGTGACCAAACATTTCAAAAACATCTCATGATAGGCTAGCTTCTATGCAGTTTACCTGGTCAATACAGTATTTCACTAATCTGACAACAGATTTGGCTCACCGTCAGTCATATTAGTAATGACGATAAAAAGACATATTTGCTTTGAGTCAATTTTTTAGTTTAGCTGAAGAGAAGTAATCTTATCTGGTCGGCGTGTTACCGGTGTTCAGTGAGGGAGTACCCACGGGCGTCACCACTAGGCTCCGGGCTCTCACGCTCCATAGTCACATTATTCAAGTATGGGACATTCTTACACTGCTATATAGATTGACGTTTATAAATGGATAATTCCACTTCTGGTTAAGTGAAGTTCCGTCTAGAGAAGTGTTAGCTAGTGTCTGGTGACCGAGGAGTACCAGTCCAGGAAAGGCCACTCCACGCCGCCTTGCTCATCACATTTAAGGTTTGTGTATTACCATTGGTTTACAGTTTTAGGCTTCACCCGAGAAGGTTATGGACATCTTTAGTACTTTATATAAATGAATCATTAACAAATTTGAGTGAAATGTTATCAAGAAAAGATGTGATGGCATTTAATATAGCAGTTTCACCCACAAGCCACCATCTTGTTTCAAGGTTAACCCTCCGCTCTTCACTTACCCAAACACACCGTGGGAGAGGCACATCGGTGCCCCCCCCTCCCCCTTCTACCGAGAACATTGCATCACACAAACCTTTGCCCAAATTTGCCCAAATGAGCCACAGAGATATTAGAAAGAATTTTTTTAGTGTCAGAGTAGTTGACAAATGGAATGCATTAGGCAGTGATGTGGTGGAGGCTGACTCCATACACAGTTTCAAGTGTAGATTCCTGAGCCCAATAGGCTCAGGAATCTGTACACCAGTTGAGAGGCGGGACCAAAGAGCCAAAGCTCAACCCCCGCAAGCACAAATAGGTGAGTACCTGAGCAGTGGCCTCACATGAATGACAATCAAACGAAGTCATCATTCCCAAACGTGGTCAAATTATTGTATTAAATGTCTTGGCCTCACGTGAACATCTTCCAGAACATTGCCATATTTTCATCCTTACCGCCCGACATACCATCAGCGTAATACTGAAACTCAGAATATTCACAGAGCGCCTATTGCGCGTGATTGTCCTGTACACGGTTGAGGGTCAAACCAGCTCCCGAGAACCAATAGGCAGATATTTCACATCTCTACAAATCATTGGCCGCAATACCGTTACTACTCCCAATTGGCCTAGGCATATATGATACAACGAACGACGGAAGTGACGTCAAGTTTCGTTGAGCGCCATCTTTTATTGGTTAAAAAGAATTACATACGCCTCTAACGCTAATTACATCCTACAGTAATTAAAAATATACCTTAACAGTTATAGTAGAAAGTGTTCATTTATCACTATCACAGTCAAGATAATTCAGGCTAGTTTCCTTATAACGGGGTGTACAACAGGTGTGGAATATTGTTATCAGGTTATCATCAGGTGTGGGACAGTTATGGGACAGTGTAAAGTGTGTACAAGTCAAACTGGTACAGTGTAGGTGCGGGGGTTGAGAATACACAGTTGATGGGCTGCTGCACGGACGCTGGGGTCAAGTTGTGCCCAGCAGGGAAGGTGTTGCCCAAGTCTGACCCGGGTGTAAATATGATGTAATTCAGTAGTAATAACTCGTTTTCGGGAACAGGAAGCCTTTACTCAGGGGAATTCACAGCACCTCTCCTGTGCCAGGTAAGTTACGGGCTCACCATAGCCCGTGCTACTTGGAACTTGTTCCGAGTAGCTGAATCTATAACAACAAGAACCTTTACTCAGGACTGTATTCAGGTTTCCCTCGTGTGTCGACCTTTCCCAGGATGCCACCCACAACAGTTCCCTAACTTCTGGGTGTCTATACTGGCTGCTAGGACAACAGAGGCATCAAGTAAAAGAAAACTTGCCCATCTATTTCTGTCCCGGCCGGGAATTGAACCCGGGATCCTCAGTTCTGAGACGAAAACGTAAATCATTGTAATAAAGGTTTAAATATTATTTTTAATTTCAGGAAGTGTCCCGCCACCCTGCAGATTAACCGTCATCATGCCGAAAACTGTAAGTTCCCATATAACTTGTATTGATGCAATATATCCTCGATTAATCTTAGAAAATATATAATGTTTAGTATTACAAGAGACTTTACAAGTCTCCTATATACATGCACCTGTGCGTTTCTAGCTCTCATTTATCATCTTCAAACCTCATTCAGTATCTGAATATATTCTACACCATTCAGGTCCAGTACGTTATAATCAATATTTATTTATTTATATATATACAAGAAGGAGCATTGGGATTGTGAGGATACATAGCATAATAATTACATTCTTGTGAAGCCACTAGTACGCGCAACGTTTCGGGCAGGTCCTTAATCTAAGAAACTTATAAGTAAATATTTGTAAAATTTATAAAAATGATGACAGTTACATAGCATGAAAAAAATGAAAGATGAGAGAAAAATTGTAGGTATATTAAAGCGCATATATATCATTACACTCATACCTTAATGCTTTTCATATAAATGGTACTGAATAGGCTATCGAATATGTCATATTGTATCATCACTGACAATTGGTGTAGATTTGTCAGTGCAATATTTACTTCATATACTTATTGTTTGTGTTTAATCTAGCGTCAGATATAAATATATAATTATTACTCTGGAGACAAACAGGCACAAGTCTAAAATGACAATGTATGGAATAACAATGTGCAAAATGTTGGAGCAGTCTCCCAGCCCCTAGGATCAAGGTCTGGAGTACCAATTGCTTCTACACAAATCCATGAAACCTGATAATTAAATGTCATGCACTGTGTGCATGACATGTGTAAGTGCACTGTGTGCACTGTGACACCGTGCACTGTGACACCGTGCACTGTGACACCGTGCACTGTGACACCGTGCACTGTGTGCACTGTGACACTGTGCACTGTGACACCGTGCACTGTGCACTATGACACCGTGCACTGTGTGCACTGTGACACCGTGCACTGTGCCACCATGCACTGTGTGCACTGTGTACTGTGACACCGTGCACTGTGTGTGTAAGCCCCGGAAGCACCTCAAGGTAACCTCAAGGTAAGGTAAGGTGTGCATATATGGAGGCTGAGACTCCCGACATCATTGGGAGTCCCCCATCTGCGAGACATGGGGGAAAAGAAGACATATTTAATAGGGAATTCCACCTTCCAGGATACCATCAACCTTTCAGAAAAGACACATCAACAAGAGCAGGTGAGGTAATGCTGTATGTAAAAGACGACTTGAATGCAACCAAAACTTGCATGTTCATAAATAAACATGCAAGTTTATTTATGAACTGACATCGTGATCTCGCATTCATGAGATCTGCATGATGTCCTCAAATGGTAGGAAGACTGGCAAATAATGTGTATGTATTCACCTAGTTGTGTTTGCGGGGGTTGAGTTTTGCTCTTTCGGCCCGCCTCTCAATTGTCAATCAACAGTTTGAATCTGTCAACTAACAACTAACACTAACTAACAACTAACAACAATCAACTGACAACAATCAACTAACTACTATAATTTTTTTCCACACCACACACACACCCCCTAGGAAACAGCCCGGGATAGCTGACTAACTCCCAGGTACCTATTTACTGCTAGGTAATGGGGGCATTCAGGATGAAAGAAACTTTGCCCATTTGTTTCTGCCTGATGCGGGAATAGAACCCGCGCCACAGAATTACGAGTCCTGCGCGCTATCCACCAGGCTACCAGGCCCCCGATGTGTGTGGGCATCTTGATAGCCTGTATAAGAATTGGGAGCTGTAAGTTCTTTTGAGCGTACCGAATCCTCAAGAATCAAGACATGCTTGTTCAAGCCCCTCCTCCCCCTCCCCAACCCCCTTCTCTGCATAGGATAACTATCCATGCGCAGGCGATAAGTCACAATAACGTGGCTAAAGTAAGTTGACCAGACCACACACTAGAAGGTGAAGGGACGACGACGTTTCGGTCCGTCCTGGACCATTCTCAAGTCGATTCAATAACATCAATAACCTTCCATCCTTGGAACTGCTCCACCCACTTACCATTCATGGAACACCAGGCTTCCCTTGGAGGGAAGGGGGAGGCTTTGTGTGCGCCAGTGACTGACGGGTAGTTCAGCTTGAGCCCCCTCTACAGACCAGAGGATATGATGCTCACAAGTTCTTATGTCCACTAACCTAGCAGCTATAGCCAGCTGTGCTGGCAGCTTACTTACCCGAGAGCCACTATCTCAAGTGCCCTCAACGGGAACAGGAAGCCCGCTGTTTGTCAAAGGTCTCCCTCATTACTACTGAACTCTCTCAAGTCCACTACGGGCTCACCATAGCCCGTGCTACTTGGAACTTTTTGTTTCAAGTAGCTGAATCTAAAACACCATCATCACTGACTGTCACAGCCCCCCCCCCAAAAAAAAAAAAATTTAGTTCTAATTTGTTTTATCTTTCTCTGTACGTCGGACACTCGACGACGTCTGGGTGGGAATGCGGGAGTCCATGGCTGACTTGTGATTGCGGAAGTCAGTTTGAACAGAGCTGATAAAACGCCGACAATATTTGGACGATATTTTTTCCTGGAGTTATCTTTCAGATTAAGATCAGTCATCGCCTCCAGAAAGTTCAGAGGAAACACTTCTTATCTAAGGCGTAATAAAAGGTTATCCTAGCGCGTTCACCGTTCATGGCAACACATACACATACCATTACCATAAAACCATTCATTTGGTGCGAAAATGAATAATATTGTCAAGTAGCTCCGAAATATAAATTCGAGTTTTTATAAAAGAAAGCTTTTGTGTATACAAAAGTTGTCCGCCATACGGAATGCCGCTACGCCAGATATACGATCAACCCATCTTACATTTGAATTTACACTATGAGAGGTTTTTAAAATGTTCGTCGATTGCTCGTTAGAAGTAGACAAATGTCTATTATACAAATGTCGATAAAGATGCAGTACAACTTGTCTCAGGAACATGAAGAACATGAACCTTCTCTAGTACTTCGGTTCTTGATAAGAAGCAAAGCCAGGGACCACCACACAACTAACTCTAAACTAAATTTCTTCAGGTTTTGTGTTTTATATGCCAGCCAACCTCATAGGTTTTGTTTACATTTGTAAATGTCCAGCATAAGCAATACTAACCTTATTTGTGACATGCTGAATCATGATATGACAATATTTAATAGTGTTAATAGGCTTTCCCATACCCCCAGGTCCGATATTAAAACTGTTAGAACTGACTGCCAGTCTGATTAAAGCATTGGGTAAAATATTTTGTTAAATACATAAAAATAGGAGGAACCACCTCTGTGTTTGTAGGGACCCTTGGCCTCGAAAAAGAGGATAAATAGCACCTGGGAAAGCCTTACGGGGGCTCCCACGTGCGTTCACATATATAATGATTATCGTCATAATCATTACCCTGATCCTCACTTAAGGTGCGCCATCGCCATCAGCTCCGAGACAGAGTAGCACCAGTCGTAACACTAGGTAGTAGCAACAACAGCATTGAGAATCATGTAATTTTCGGCATACCAATATACACTATAAACATCGAGAGTACAAGTGAGGAAAGATTTTAATAGACTTGAACACTGACGAGGGACTGATACAACATACAAAAATACATTACGAGAATACTTTAATGTTGGAGCACCACTGTGTGCTGGTGCAGTGGCTAGGGCAGCTGAGGTGCAAGCCAAATCATCAACTCCTAGCCAACAGCGCCTATTAGCTAGGAAAAATCACTTGCAAAGTTATTGAGCGTGGTAAAAACGAGCATCATACTACTGAGTTGAAGGGTACGATTTAGTGCGTAGTCACCGGATTTAATGATCCGCTGGCACACACCTAACACTGCTAGTGGTGTCATCAGTGGCATTGAAGAAGACATGTTACGTGACTTTGGCAGCTACAGTTCACATCGTGAGTTAAAGGCGAAACTAGACTCAAGCTGAAGATCACATTTTCCGTCGGAAGCACGAGGGCGATGACAGAGGTATGGAGTGATGTCAACACGCCTTTTAAGAAGGGTAAAATACGTGATGTCCAGGTGTGTGAGATTAATGTTGGACCACCACCGTCTGTAGCGGGTTAGGTCAGCCGTGCAAGCCGCACACAGCAGTTATCAACAACGTAAAATGCTTAGAGTAACAGCACAAGATCTTGACAGATATAGGTCGTGTCTGATCTCTACCTGGTAGTGCAGGGAGATCAGAAATCGGCAACACCAAATTTATGATTTTTGTTATTAATATATTAGGTACATCTGCATTTGTGCAGATGTTATATAGTCCCTAGTGTACTCTACCTTCATATAGTCCCTAGACTATATGAACGTGGAGTACAGTGTCAAAAAGCTAGCTACGTGATGCTAAAAAATCCCCATCACACAGGATGGTTAGTCATACAGAGGCACGTGATAAGCAGTCTGCACTGGCAGACTCTGGGTGCATTATGAGGATATCATCAACACAAGAGTGAATAAGGCAGCAGTGATACTAAAAGTCCCCATCTCGCAGGATGGTTAGTCATACAGGGCCATATGTTCAGTAGCCTGCACTGGCAAATTTTGGGTGTAATATCAGGATATCTTCAAGAACACGAGAGTGAATAAAGTAATTGCAAAGCTTTAGGTACCTCATGCCAGCGGGTCTGAAAGGTCTAATAACTGGGCATTCGGTGATGCAGTGTGGGAGATCGTGCCGCAGTTCCTGCTCACAGAGTTTGCACTTGGAGTGCTCAGGATTGGGAGACCCGTCACCTGTAGCCACCTGCCACAGGTAACGGTAGCCACCTGCCACAGGTAACGGTAACCCAACCTGATCCTGGCAACCACTGTGTCGCACAGTCTGGTGGAAGTTTTGTGTTGCCCATAGATATAGGTTTCAGATCTGAACAAATCATAGCTTTTTATACTAGTGTTTTCAGGTCGTTGGGGAGTCAGTAATTTCTTTCTTATCAGACCTGAGTGTTTGGAACAATATAGTTTTGACAGTAGAGATAGGGATACCTAGATCTAATTCAACTTCATCTTTGTTAC